GAAGGGTATTACTTCAAATATGAGAGGAAAATTGATTCATAAGTGGGGGCACAGTCATGAAATTGAATCAACCCTGTACTTATGTTCTTAATGATAATCCTAAAGTACTTTTGTATGTAATATTGCAACAGATAATCAGAAGGTCAATAGTTCCTTCAACCAAAAAATGAAAAAGTGAAAAAATGAATAAATGAAAAAATGAAAAATGAAAATATGAAAATTTAGCAAAAGGGCATACTCACCAGCAGTGTAGTGTGTGAAAGATGCCCATGGGTTCTCTTATGTTGGACCCCGCATTCTGTCGGGTTGCGGACCACACTTGGTCAACTATTATAGAGCTCTTTAAGGGACAATAGAGACCGACGTGCCACATATAGACCAAAGTGTATACTGTAAAAATAGAATGAGAGTACAATATTAAGTCTGGGAGACAAAGAACATGGACTCCCTAGCTGGAGGTATGCAGGTATACACCCTTCATAAATAGCTTCACAGAAAATGTTTGAGGTCATAGTCCTCATTCAGCCCGTCTGGGTGTAATGTCTCCAAAATACTAATCCATTTTGTTTCCTTACGTAGCAGTGCTTTCTGTCTATCTCCCCCTCTCCGTAGGGGTTTAATACCATCAATAACCTGGAAACGTACTTGGTTGACACCATGTCCTTGTAAGAAATGCCTCGGTACAGGTTTCTCACTGGTCCCTTTCTGAATAGCTGCTCTTATGTCCCTTTTGTGTTCTCCAATACGCTCTTTTACAGGTCTAATCGTCTCTCCAACATAGAGAAACCCACATGGACACTTCGAAATGTAAACCACATAGTCAGAGTTGCACGTATAGTAGTCAGGTATTTTGTATGACTTGCCTGATCGTGGGTGAACAAAGCATTCACCCTTGATTATACTGTTGCAATGTATGCAATTTAAACAAGGGTGGGTACCCCTCTTGGGTTCTGAAAAAAATCTTTTGTGTTTCCGACTACTCCCTATATCAGAATTTACCAATTTATCTCTTAAGTTTTGTGCTCTTTGATAGGAGAATAAAGGTGGATTTTTAAACTCATTTGGTAGGTTAGCGTCACCCTCAAATATGTTCCAGTGTTTCATTATAATTTTCTTAATATCGTGGCTGTAGGGTGTGAATGGCGAAATGAAAGGAATTCTATCTATCGCTTTTCTAGTGCCAATGGGGTTAAGCGCCAAGTCTCTATCTATTCCCAAGACCTTGTTTCTTTGTTGTTCAACTAATTCCACTGGGTAGCCCCTATGTATAAATTTATTGCACATAAATTCCATTCCTAAATTGACCTGATCTTCTTGTGAGATTATTCTTTTGACCCTCAAAAGCTGACTATATGGAAGACCATCCTTCAGATGTTGTGGGTGATAGCTAGTATACGCTAAGAGATTATTTCTGTCCGTTGGTTTAGTGTAGATATTCGTATATAATTTACCTGCAGTCAAATACACTTGGGTGTCAAGGAAGGGAACAGTTGTCCTATCACAAGTCATGGTGAATTTGATGTTGGGGTCCAGAGAGTTCAGCTGGTCAAAAAATGTGTCCAACTGTGCTTTCGTGCCACCCCAACACATAAATATATCGTCTATAAATCTCTTCCACATAAGGGTCTTTTGAAATAGTGGAGTGGTGTATATGTGTACTTCTTCTAATCTGTTCAAGGACACGTATACCAGGACAGACCTACAATCCTTACTGGGCACGTTCGCCATGAAAATTATTCCACAAGGCCGGGCTTTCATTTCTATATTATTCTGCCTTCTCCCTCTGCTCAATAATGACACTAGCTCCTTATCCCTAGATGAACACGCCAAGGCAGATCTACACATGTGGATGCGGTTTCTTTCATGTTGGAATGGGAAAGCCATGTTTTTACACCCCTATCAGATTCCTCCCCAGTCATCTGAACCAATGCCGCAGCTCACATAGAGTTTTCAGCCATCTTTGGCAACGACTGGTTTAGACATCCCTGGCCAGTAGAGACCCTTGATTTACACTCATTCCACACTACATCTTCCCTATTGTAGTTTATCCGATAGTGGCAGCCTCCAGAGTATGGGGGCACCTGTGGCAGGGGAAAGCAGTAAAATGCTTCTCCGATAAAACAGCACGTGACATTATAAATAAGGGCAGATCTTCTTCACTCACCATCATGAAACTGATCCGACGATTAACATGGTTAGCAGCTACGCTGCAATTCCACATCACTTGCATACACATCCCAGGATGCACCAATATAGCCGCTGACGCATTGTCTCGATTTACTTTACATGTTTTCTTCAGAGCCCATCCCACAGCCAGCACCAGACCGGTCAACATACCAAGACCTCATCCTGAATTAGAAAGACTACTATCACACAGCAGATATCTAGCCGGTTCAGCCCGGTCTACTAACACATTACGGGCATAATCTAGAGCATTCACCCTATATATCAAATTCACGGGAGACTACCAGACTAGCAACACTCATTCACTAGACTCTATTATAGCATTTATCTTTTTTTGCCACCTTAACTTAAGATTATTATTAAACACCATAAAACTATATCTCACAGGTATTCAACACCACATCCTTAGTGCCTACCCCTAGCATAAACCCCTTCATGGCTTCCTATGCCATTAAAATAATTTTGAAAGGCATACAACGATTAAACAAACCCACTACCAGGCTCCCTATAGACAGTCCTAAATGTTGTGCACTCTCAGACATCCTGGACAACAATCCATTCAACACCAACACAAATCTTGTTATAAAAACAGCAGCTTATCTAGCCTTCTGTGGTTTCTTATGACCAAATGAATTCACCACCAATAACATCATTTCTAATCACCAGCATCTTAAAATTACGAACCTCCAAAGAGACACAGACCATTACGTACTTTCCATCAATCACACCAATCACACCACTGGTAACCAATGGTGCCCCGTTAAATTGACACATATCGTTCTACCCTGGCGGGTCTTAATCCTAATATGCCACTACTATCATTACATGGCAACCCCTTGAGCACTACGAAGTTCATATAAGTTTAGAATTGGAGCCGCTTCTGCGGCTTCAAGCCACAACGTCCCGGCTCAGATAATTAAAAGACTAGAGCGGTGGAAATCTGCAGCATACACCACTTATATTCCACAACCAGAACAAGAATTAAGATCAGCATTTAAAGGTCTAGCTGTATAACATGTACAATAAAGTTATTTGTTTCCATCAACCTTTTTGCCCTCTTTTTTTTTTTTTTAAATTCTTTATTTTATTTGACAAAGTATTATAGAACAAGGCAAGATGTTCCGGTTTAAGCATAAACCGTGGTCAAGTATAACATAACATATTACAGCATAGGCATACAGTTGATAAGCGTGGTAGACATCATATGTTACAATAAGTGCCTGTAGCACAGGACTCTTTATTAGGGGGCTTGGACATCACTTTTGTGCTGTCAATTTTTTATTGTATATTGAGTCAGTTACAGGTGGCCAGAGCGTGAAGGTGGGTTTCTGTAGGCATTCGGTGGTGCCTATCCTAGCGCTATTGGAGGGTTTCGGGGTACCGTTGGGCGATGAGATATCTCTTAATGATGCTGTGGAGTCTCCAACTATGTTAAATACAGGTGACGGCCCTTCTGACTTGTTCCAGCTGCAAATTGTCCCCTGTATTGTGGAGCCCGCGTTCAACTCCTGCTTTGTACTAGATAAAACTGAAATACATTTTGGCCTGACTGGGCCCCCCTCCACTCCCTGGCGCCTACCTGCCTGGCGTGTGAATTCGTGCGTGTTTGCGCTGATAGTTCGCTTCAGTGTGCTATCATTGCCTGCGTGTGCTTAATGTGTATATTGTATCAAGCGGGCCCTCGTCTAAGGCGAGGACCCGGGTAAGAAGATAAGAGAAAGGTAGAGTGAAGATAGAAAGGAGGGTGGGGGGGTGGGTGGACCAGGCGCCCGGGCAGGCGGGGGGAGCCCAAGGGGACGGGGGGGGGGGAAGAAGGAGGCGGGGAGAGGGCGGCGGGAAGGGGGGAGGGCACCAAGCAGACTAGCATCTTCCACCTCTCGGACCCCCCGGGCCGCGGCCCCGCCAAGCGCAAGGACGGTTACTCCGCCAGGGGGCAGTCCTTCCAGCGTCCCCACGTCCTTTCGAAAGCCTTTTGAGTACTGCGCACCCTTGCTGTGAGGTCGTCCATTAGGCAACTATCTTTTATTCTCCCCAGGATCGCTGCCCTGGTGGGGGGCTGCATTTTTAACCAGCGTTGTGCGAGGGCTCGTCTGGCCGCCAATGTGATTTTGTTGAATAGTTTTAGGTCATATTTGGGCCATTCGTCAATAGGTCTGCCCAGGAGGTATGTCCACGGGTCAAGGGCGGGTGCCCTCTGGAATACCTGTCCCAGTATGTCTCTAACGTCTTCCCAGTACCTGCGGGCGACGGGGCACCCCCACCACATGTGGATGTATGTGCCCCGCAGACCACAGTTCCTCCAGCAAAGGTCAGTGGGTGTCTTTCGCATGCGATGGAGTTGTACTGGGGTGGTGTACCATCTAAAGAGGGTCTTGAAAGATTGTTCCTGGAAGGAAACACAGATGGAGGAGGTGGCCGCCGTCTCCCAGATATCCTGCCAATCCACTCCCTCTAATACCTCACCCAGGTCCCTCTCCCATTGATCAGTATATGTGAGGTTGCCCCATTCTTTGGTTTCTGAGCATATGTGCGCGTATAACAGCGTGATTAGGCTTCTGGGAGATTGCTCTCTAAGGCATATGTTTTCAAAGAAAGTGGGGGATGTGAGTGCGGCCTTTTTTGTGTGCGGTTGCCTGGCGTAGTCTGCGATCTGGAGGTATCGGAAAAAATCGGCCGGGGTTAAGTGGTGTCCCTGCTTTATGGTGTCAAATGGGATGATGGAACCCTCCACATATAGTTGGCAAGCTCTCTGCAGGCCCGTATGTTCAATGTTTCTGAAAGCTTGTGGCACTAATCCAGGTGGGAAGGCCCTGTTTCTGAGATAGGGCATGAGGGGGGAGGGGGAGGATGACAGCCGGTATTTCTGAGATGTTTGATCCCAAATGTGAATGGAGTTGGTGATGGCCGGGCAAGCTGTCCGCAGTATGGGTCTGGAATCCTTTGGTACCCAGATAAAGTATTGTGGGAGGTCGGTGCCCATGAGGAGAGATTCCAGTTCTACCCATTTCCTCGTGTCTATAGGGGAGTGCCACATTGCAATCTGGGCAAGCTGGGCTGCTAAGTAGTAGTTATGTAAGTTGGGAAGGCCTAGACCTCCCGTTCGTTTTGGGCGGTATAGCGTGTGCCTCGACACCCGATGTCTTTTATTTTGCCATATAAAATTGCCGATGGCTCTTTGGAGGTGGGCCAGGTCCGTTTTTGCGAGCGGGAGGGGAAGGGCTTGAAATAGGAAGAGGATTCTAGGGAGGAGATTCATCTTAATGGAGTGAATCCGGCCCATCCATGAGATGGGCTTGTCGACCCAATTCTCCATGTCTCTGATAAGAGTAGTTATCATGGGGGGGTAGTTGTATTTGTGCATTTTGGATGGGTCTGAAGTCAATTGTACTCCCAAATAGGTGATTGAGTGGGTTGCTATGTGGATGCCATGAGCTCTATGTATGTGAGTTATCACGTCTGGCGTTAACTCTATTGGTAAGGCACTGGACTTGGCCATGTTGGGTTTGTACCCTGAGAGTGGGCTAAATATTGCTAGGGTCTCCTGAACAGCCCTCATGGAGGTGATCGAGGACATCATCGGCATACGCCGAGACCAGGAACTTCCGTCCCTGAACCGTTATTCCCTGGATATCAGGATGAATGCGTAGCGCCTGAAGGAGTGGTTCCAGTACCAGAGCGAATAGGAGGGGGGACAGCGGGCAGCCCTGCCTCGTGCCGTTGGACAATGGGAAGGGGAGCGTGTGGGTCCCAGGGATGCGTATCTGTGCCGAGACCCCGTGGTATAGCGCTCGTATTGTCGCAGTATATGTGTCAGGGAGTCCTAGGTGGTCGAGGAGAGTAAACATATACGGCCATTTCACCCTGTCAAATGCCTTTTCAGCATCGAGTGAGACTATGAGGGTGGGGGTCTTGCTAGTGTGTTGTCGCCAGATGATGTCGCAGTTCTTGCGCGTGTTTTCGAATAATTGCCTCCCTGGGATGAAACCCACCTGATCGGCATCTACTAGTTTGCTGAGGAAAGGGTTGAGTCTGTCTGCCAGTATTTTAGCTAGTAGTTTCGCATCATGATTAATGAGCGATATTGGTCTATAATTCCCCGGTAATTGCGGGTCCTTGCCCGGTTTCGGGATCAGTACTATGTCTGCTCGAGTGAGGTCTCCGTCAGGGAGGCCCCCTGTCCGGAAGTCGTTGAATAAGTTCGTCAGGTGGGGGGTTAATGTTTCTCTGAAGGTTTTATAGTATCTGCCGCTTAGTCCGTCCGGGCCTGGGGCTTTATTACCATGGAGTTTTGAGATGGCTCTATCTACCTCGTCTATTGTGATCTCCGAGTCGAGAGCGGCTGTCTCCTCTGGGGACAGTTTGGGCAGGTCTAGCTGTCCTAGGAAGGCGGCTGTCATCTCCCTCTCGCTCGCCCATTGCGATGTGGTGGTCGGGGAGTGGTTATATAGGGATCTATAGAACTCAGTGAAGATCGAGGCTATGTCGGTTGGGGCTGTCTTTATTGTTCCATCCGGATGTTTCAGTGCTGTGATGTGGTGGCGTGTTTGTCGTGGTCTTAGGGTGCGGGCTAGGAGAGTGTCCATCTTGTTAGCCTGCTCGTAGTAGGTCCGTTTGGACCAGAGAAGGCTACGGGCTGCGTCGTCGAGAAGCAGCTCCCTAACGGCCCGCCTAGTCGTGTCTAGTTGGGCAAGTGTGGTCTCCGTGGGGGAAGTCTTGTGGCACTGTTCCCTAGTGCGTAGGGAATCCATGAGTTCGCGCAGGCGTTGTGTTTTTGCTTTTTTCTTGTGGGTGGCGAGTTGGATAAACGCGCCTCTGATCACCGCCTTATGCGCCGCCCAGAGTGTTCCCTTGGTTAAGTCGGGGGAGTCGTTGGTGGTAAAATAGAAGGACAGCTTCTCCTGTATGGAGGCTACTGCCTCGGGATCATTTAAAAGGGAGGTATTGAGCCTCCACGTCCATGGGGGGGCTGTACCTATGTGCTGGATGCTTAAGTGTATGTCCGCATGGTCCGACCATGTGATAGATCCAATGCTGCTACGTGCGACTTTGGGCACTGTGGCGCTATTTACCAGGAACAGATCTATTCGGGAGTATGTGTGGTGGGGGGCCGAGAAGAAGGTGTAATCTGTGTCTCCGGGGTGCTGTGCCCTCCAGATATCTATGAGTCCCATTGCCCTGATAAATTTGTATAACGCTTTGTCCGAAGCACCCCTGCCCTGTGATCGTGGCTGCCCCGCCTTCGCGCTTCTGTCTGCTGCTGGGCACGGAGCCGCATTAAAATCGCCACCTAGGACCTGCATGCCATGTGAGAGGGACTGAACCTTCCCCTCCAGTACGGCCCAGAAATCCCCCTCTGGGGTGTTGGGAGCGTACACGTTTATAAGGTGTATAGCTTGCGTGTTTAGTGTGCCGGAGAGGATAATGTATCTGCCGTTGCTGTCTCCCTCTACGGCTGAGACCCTGAAGGGGCAGTCATGTCGAAGCAGGATTGCTACCCCATTGCGTTTGTTTACTGCTCTAGCCTCATATACTGTATTGAACGTACGGTCCCTAAGGGTGACTGTGGCTTGTTTGGGTAGGTGGGATTCCTGAATAAAGGCAATATCGGGGCGCATGCGTTTTAAGTCTCGGAACATTAGGCGTCTCTTTTTGGGGGAGTTCAGTCCCTTAACATTTAGGGAGGTGATATTTAGTGTCATGGTCGTGTCTGTCCGGCCTCGCTAATGTCCCGTCCCCGCCATCCGCCCCCCGCCAACCCCCCCCCACGAGGCCCCCCACCCCCCCAAGCACCCGGTCCAAAGAGGAGAAATGAGAACAGGCGGGTAGGGGGAGGGAGAGAGGAGAGGCTCGAGCAGAAGGGGGGGAGAGTATAAGAGGGTAGAGAAGAAAGAATAAAGGAGGTAGTAAATAGAGTAAACATGTGTCCCTGGTCTTACCATCTGCCAGGATCCTAGGAGGGTTGTGTGCCGGTCCTTCCGGCTTCGTGTTTTAGTACGGGGAGTACCGGTCGATCTTCCCGTCCCTAATTCCACCGCCTAAACTGTTTTCTTACCTATTGCCAGTGTTATCAACTAAGTTGGGCCGAACGTCTATGCTGTGAGCCTGAAAAAACCCAGATGACCCTAACTAATACTCCAGAGGGGGTGGGGATCGTATGAGGGTGAAAAAAGGCATGGGGGGCAAGGGACGGGGGACGGGTACCCGGAAAGAACAAATAGCGAGTGTGTGCTGTGGGCATCATACCTGAGGGCCCCTCTGCCCGGGTCACCCAGCCCGCCTATCTGGCCTTAAGGTCCCCGACATCTCTGGGACCCCCTCCCCCAACCATCAGGGCCCATCGGGCGTGCTTGTCAACATGGGAAGGGAAGGCGCCTGATCCGCTACAGGGGAATATGGGTCCCAAAGTCATGTGCCTATCCACAGGCTGCCCAGGGGCCCCGCTCTCCTCAACCCGGCCATCCCGGGATGTCTCCATAGGGTCCCGTCTCCCCTCCCAATCACTGCAACACCCCCACTCCCGTAGCACTCCATCCCCCCCTCCCCCCCCCCACCAGTCCAGTCAATAACTGAGGGTCTCCAGCGTTGTAACTACTCACAGCAGCTAGCACGTCGCGCCTCTCCGACTTCACTGACTGTGGCGGTCCACAATTTGCCAGTCTCGGGTCAGTAGGCCCAGGTCTTCCTGCTCCAGTGGGACCGTGGAGAGGCTCTGTGGTGGTGGGATATCCAGGGCCTGGAACAGTTGGGTTGGGCATTCTCCTGGCTGCAGCATGTGAGTGCGGTTGCCCCGGAATACCATGAGCTTAAAGGGGAAGCCCCATGCATACCGGATGCCTGCTTCTCGTAGCGCGTCCGTGATGGGTTTCCATTCTCTCCGGCGTTGAAGAGTGGAGGGAGCGAGGTCCTGGTATAGGGAGAGGTCAGCATCCCCATACCGGATGGGTGTTTCTCTGCTCTTCTTCAGGAGGGCCTCCTTAGTCTGGAAATAGAAGAAGCGCATGATGACATCCCTGGGGCTGTTCTGATCTGCCCGCCTGGCACGGAGCGCTCTGTGGGCACGTTCAATGTGCCAAAGGTGGTCTGGCATATCAGGGAGGAGAGGTTTGAGGATGGTGTGGAGTAGGTCCTGCAGTGGGCCTTCCCCGGCGGTCTCTGGGAGCCCGCGGAGGCGTAAATTGTTCCGTCGGGATCGGTTGGCCATATCCTCTATAGCCAGCTCAGCTGTTCTCATACGAGCTGTGAGGCGGTTAATCTGGAGGACCGCTGAGTTGTGGGCATCCACTGTGGCCTCCTGTTTGTGCTCCAGTCTCGCAGTTCTGACTCCCAGTGCCTGGATCTCATTCTGCAGGACCGCGGTGGATTTCTGTATCTCCCCTGCCAGGTAGTGTTTGAGCTCTGCTAATTGAGCTAGGATCTGTGGGGTATCCCCCACCTGATGCTCCGTTGGAGAGGCACTGCGCTGTGGCGGGCTTCTGGGCGCCGGGCCTAAACCGGCGCCATTTTGGGCCTGTTGCGCGGTCGATTTTGCGGCAGCAAAAAGATCCGCTACTGACGTCTCTGCCTCTTGCCCCTTCCTAGGCTGTTTCTTGGGGTTGCGCTTTTCCATCCTGCAGGGGTTTCGGTTCAGTTCGGCGGCGGTAAGTATGCCTTTTATTGCTGTAGGCGGCGGTTTCGGGCCGGAGCTTTAGCTTAGTGCGTCCAGCTCGATCGTTGGTCAGGCCACGCCCCTTTGCCCTCTTTTACTACAGGTTTACCCCTGTACGTTGGTTCCAGCATACCACAACCAACTGGTATTTACTTATGTGGTTTCATATTGCTATTACGACTAATGTCCCTGACTACAAATATATGTATATATGATATATATTTTATTTTGTTTGTTTTTTTGTGTGTGTGTGTATATATATATATATATATATATATATATATATATATATATATATATATATATATATATATATATATATGTATGTATGTATGTGTATGTGTATATATATATGTGTGTGTATGTATGTATATGT